GGGGGAGGCACTGCGGAGTGGTGGGGGGCGGCCCGAGGGGCTGGAGGAGGGTCCGGCCCACGCTGCGCCTGGGCTGGGACTGGTCCCGCCGCCTCTGCCATCTCTTGATTTCAGGAGGATTTATGGAGTAATCCCCTACTTTATTGAGCTGCAGTTCCTGCAACGAACTCCATGTTTACCCAGAATTCAGGTTTTCAAAACCAAGAATCTCTTGTCTTTTATCTCTAAGACAGCAGATTTCACAAAATGGATTTTAAGCATCATGCCCCCCCCCCCGGCCCACCTTGCATCATTGGGCTCTGGCGAGTCGAGGCTGAGGGAGAGACAGCTGCCATCCCTGTGGACAGTGTGAGTCGTGGGAGGGTCGAGGATGAGTGTCTTTGTCTTGCAAGTGTAGGAGGCATGTAGCTTTGCTTAGCAGAAGGAGACTCAGCACAGAGGCTTTGTCCTCTGGGTGATCTTGTTCTTGTCACTCAGCCCTTCTGCACTTCAGCTGCCCACTGGGATGCAGTGATAGAATCCCTAGTCTCTTTCTCAAGGAGACTAGAAGGGGTCCGAGAAGAGAGCTCACAACGTTATTTGAGTTCCTTGGGAGATAAACTCCATGTGAGAGGAAATGCAATCACCCTGGTCTTGTTTCTCCCCCATCCACCTCAACAGTCTTGACAAGGATGCTCTCCCAGTGGCCTGGAGCTGCTGGCTATATTATGAAAGTCTAACCAACAGTCAGACGGGATGAGGGCCCTGGAGAGAGCAGGCTCATTATTTACCTGATCTACTTGTCAGTTTCTGTAGCACTTGTCACACTCAAAGCCAGGCACACTGACAGGGAAGGTTGGTCAGGGGTGTTTATGAGAGGTACAGAGATAAGACAAAAGGGAGCCTGCTCTGAAGCCCTACTTCTCGACAGTGCTCCTGTGCTGTGATCAGAGTGAAGCATGTCACAGGCAACTTGCTCTTCACTGCAAGCCAAGGACCAAAGCTTGCAAATGAGTCACTCATTTTCTATATTGTTGAAAATGCACGATGAATCGCGCTCGCCTCCCCATGGGTAGGGTTCACTTGGGCATTGCCTATTGCTGACAGATTCTTTCATCTATGCGAGGTCCCTAAGAGGGTGTGTGCACAGTTCTGCTGATGCCAGAGTCCTCAAGGGGGGCATAGGGTGGTTTAAAGCACTGTGATTAGGCTGCTGGTTTTGAGTTCATCTTTTTCCAGTATGAGTCATGTGACCTTGTGTAAGGCACTTAGCCTGTTGTTGTGTCATTTTCCTCTGCTGTAAAATGAGATGGAGGAAGAATAATAGTTGTCTACCTCATATGGTTAATTCATGTAGAATGCTTTATTCTAAATGAATTAAGAGCCTGGCGCACACTGCACCATGGATAAATGCTGGCCATTGATTTGTTCATTAATAGTTATGGAAATAATTAAGTCTGTTTTCTTATTTACTTCATTTCTCTCGAAGCCATTTTTGGTTCCCATAATACCCATTGTACCCATGGGACTGTGTTGTGCGTGAGAACATGAGCTACTGTGAGTGTCATCGCAGGGGTAGGGAGTAGGGTGGAAGCAGAAGGACCTTCTCTGCAGTGTTTCTGTTTTTTTTTTTTTTTTTCTTGGAGGAACTGGGGATTGAACTCAGGCCCTTGTGCTTGCCAGGGAAGCACTTATTCCACTGAGCCATCTCTCCAGCTCCTCTGGAGTGTTTCTGTGCGCCCTCCTCTAAGATTAGGGCAGGATAAGACTCAGCTAAGATGTCCTACTCCACTGGTGCTGAGAGTGGTAGGCCAGGAAACCTGTGGCCCCTTGAAGCCCTCGCTGCTGTTTTCTTGCCAGTGAGTCTTTGCTGTCTAACCTCCTTCTCTTTGCTTTGCAGGCAGCTGAACTAGGGATGGTGTCAGCCTATTACACATACATCTTCACTAATCTGGTAAGACATTTTCACAGCTTGCTTCCTTGATATGAAGTATTGTCAGTGGTCAGTTGTGATGGGATGAAGCCCAGAAGATAGGGTGTGGGCAGATAGAGACAGAGGAGCAGAAACTAAGAAGAACCAGGCATCCTACAGACTTGTGGATCCAGGATCCCACTGGGATTCCCTTCCCAACAATCCCAAGCCTTGGAGGAGTGGAAATTCAGGCATTCTAGTGCTTCCATTCAAATGCCACTTGCTGTGTAACATGGATTCTTCTGGACAGTAGAATGATGGATGAGAGAGCCTGCTCACTAGCTGCAGTTAGTGGCTTAGAGTTGGTCTCTAACTCACCAGCTCCCCACCCAGGGTAACTCAGATGTAGGGACCTGAGGTCCAAGAAGTGTGTATGCATGCTATAACTGGACATACAGCCAGAGACTGTATCTTAGCCATAGCCCCTTATTTTGCAGTTGAAAAAGCTAAATTCTACAGAATTTATTGAATCAGGTTTAAGTACTAACTTTGCCAAATATCAACCATGTGCCCTTCGATGAACTACTGAGCTTGGTCTTTATCTGTAAAATGGAGATACGAGCAGTTACATTACTGAGCTGTTGCGATTTTGAAATGTGATTTTTAATCTGCATGGAAGCATTTTGAAATTGCAAAGCATTAAATATGAAAGCTATTGTGACATACAGACACAGTCAAGTAGAAAATAGGAATGACCTCAGAAAATAAGCTTTTAAACATATATAACTTTTCCTTTTGGAATACTCACATAATTCCTAGGAAGTTGCAGGAATAGCCCCACGTACCCTAAACTGCGTTGCCTCCAGTAGCTGCGTCATACGTAATTACAGAGCAGGGTCACAACTGCGATGTCAGAGCATCAGAGCCTTTAAAGTATGGGGATGTGCCACTGTTCCATGATTGTGAAGGCCATCCTCATGCCACTACCCCAGAGTCGCGCCTGTCATCCTCTTCCCCACCGTCTCCAGTCCTTGGCAGCCACTAAGTTCCCTAATTTTGAGCTTGTTATATAAATGATGTGATACGGTGTGTGGCCCGAGCTTGGCTTTTTTCCCCCACATGCTGTGAGATACCCTTGAGAGCCACTCAAGTTTTGCGTTTTGTTGATAAGCAGTGTTTCATGGTCCCTGCCTGCTATTCGTTCTATTGTTAACCAGTTGAGAGGCATTTTTGTTGTCTCCTATTTGGGGCTATTACAAACAGTGCCATTCCAAATGGTCACTCAGAGAAGAAGTTTAGTTTCTTTTATAAATCACTCAATCAGGTGACCCCTTCACCCAGATGTGCTTTTGAGCGCTTGCTGGGTGCCTCTGATCCAGGCTTCTTATAGGAATATTAAGAAAGCCATCCCCTTTTGCTTCAATTCTTATAACTCCCTACCACAAGACTGCTAGTGCAGTGGTTGGGATTGTCTACTGAGGTCCAGCAGTGCACAAGGAAGATGCCCACATGTATTTTATGCACATGTGACCTTTCTCCAAGAGGGCACCCTCACATCCAGTAATAAAACACCACCAGTAGCCTTCTTGCACCCTTCACAATGTGAAACAGAATGAATGTCTTTGTTTACTGTTTTCTTTTTCTTTCTTTTTTCTGTCCACTGCTGCTGCTGTAAATCAGAGCATTAACATGTAAAAGAGGAGGAAAGGATTAGGCTATTCCCAGAGCAACGCAGAAGCATTTGCTTAAAGTAAGGAGGCATCTGGGGCAGCCTGGGCAAATTGGCGGAAGAGTAAAGAGAGATTAAAGTGCAGTTGTGCTCCATCTGGGGAGCCTGGGAGAGGGAGGGAAGGAGGGACCAAAGCAGAGCAGGGGCTGCCTGCAGCATGCTAGCGTTTGGGGAGGCTTCCTGCCTGAGGCAGCAAAAGCAGCAGAGGAGAGAGGGTCTCAGTGGCTGAGAGTCACAGAGAATTTAGCAAATGGAGGGGGGCACTCATTCAGAAGGTGGGCTCCAGTGACAATCAGAAGTTAGATGGATGGGCTTGGCTTGGAGATTTTAAGAAGGTAGTGTCATATACGCTGCAAGTCACCATTCTCCTATCAGAAAGAAGGACGTTGGTGATGAGGCTAAGTGGTAGAAAAAGCACTGGCCTGGAAGAGCAGGACACCCAGGGTCCCACTCTGCCCCTACTTACTCGGAGACTTTGGTAAGTCACATTGACTCTCAGCCTCATTTTAAAAACAGAAATAACAAAACCCAAACCATCACTATGGGGATTCTCTACAATTCTGTGAGTAAAAATGCATTGCCAGCTGGACATGGTGGAACAGACCTGTGATCCCACCACTCTGGGAGGCTGAGACAGGAGGATCACAAGTTTGAGCCCAGCCTGGACAACTGCTGTGTTTTATATCTGGGTGTTCCTCCAAAGCCTCATGAGTTTGTGAGTTTGCAAAGGGGCATCAGAGGTGTAACTATATGACAATTCTGGTTGAATGACAGTCAAGAAAGTAGAAGCAGAACTAAAGACTCGTGCGGCCATGGAGGGTGGGGAATCTATTATTTGTGATTGATTCATGGTCTGATGCTGGGATTGAGTGTGAGTGTAGCACCTGCCCTGGGGCAGTCCACACGCATAGTGTATGAGGATAGAAAGAAGTTTCTCTTCCTCTGTCTCTTTGTCTCTCTATCTTTCTCTGTCTCTGTCTCTCTGTCTCTGTCTCTGTCTCTGTCTTTCTCTGTTTCTCTGTTTCTCTGTCTCTGTCTCTATCTCTGTTTCTGTCTCTATCTCTCTGTTTCTGTCTCTGTCTCTCTATCTCTGTCTGTCTGTCTGTCTGTCTGTCTGTCTGTCTGTCTGTCTCTCTCTCTCTCTCTCATTGCTTTTGCTATCTTCTGCCATCATGAACTGTTGTCCCTTTCCCATGTGCGCCCCTGGCCCTGCATCTACCTGATTATTGACTGAAACCCCTATGAACTGTGGGCTAAATAAACTTTTTCCCCTTTACCTTTGGATGTTGGGTATTTTGTTTCAGTAACAAGAGAAAGGTAACTTAAGACAGGAACTTAGCAATTCAGTGAGACCTTGCCTGCAAAAGTGGCAGGCAGGGGCTGGGGATGTAGGTCAGCACAAAGACTCTGGGTTTAGTCTGTAGAACCATTAAAACTTTATTTTTAAAAAAACTCATTGTGAACCTCAAAGTGCTATATGTTTCCAAGGCATTGTATTTTTTTTAACACAACACTATGATAGTTTGCAGTTTTTGAAGAGCTTGAGTCCTTTTCAAGTGGGCACAGAATGGGAATCACACCGGGAGCATGGCTTGGAGAGTTTTTGAACCTGGAATTAAAAGGACTCACATAGTTTATGAGTTTGCAAAGGGGAATCGGAGGACTACCTATGGGACAATTCCGGCTGAATAACAGTCAAGAAAGTATAAGCAGAGCAATTGCAAAAATCGTTTGGTGAAGGATTATTCTATGAACTTCTCATTAGTGCCTGGGCCTTCTAGAAGGGTCGGTGCTCTGATACTCTTTTAGAGCCACTGTTCTTGCCTCATTGTAGAAGGAGTTTGGGGTCTGAGAAGGCGTCCCTTTTCTTGCCATGACACACAGTATCTGACAGGCACAACTGGAAGGAGGAAAGGTTTAGTGTGGTTCATGGTTCTAGGGGGTTCAGTCCAAGGTTAGCAGGCTCTAAGGCAGAAGCGCAGAGGGAGTGAAGCGCCTTTGTTCTTGGTAGTCAGGAAGCACAGCAGGGGAACAGTGCCCACGAAGCAGAAGTCAGGGGCAAGACGTGACTCATGGTTATGCCTCCATCCATCCAGATGTACTTAGAGGCGTGCTGCCTCCATCCACTGGGTGGATCTCACACCAGGCTGGTTGACCCTTCACCCTGGTCACTATGTCCCATCCAATGTGAAAACATTTTTCCTTAAGTCATGCTTAATCTGCAAATAAAGATAATATCAAATTCATGATTTGACCTGACAATACGGCTGTCCTGCATAGAGCCAGTAATACAGTAATCTCTTCTGCAAATTCTTAATAGTGTCAGTGTTTTTGAAAATTTCAAATACAAGTTTCTTTTGAGACTCAAGACAAATTCTTCTCATAAAAGTTTTTCATTTATTTGATACAGGGTCTCACTACAGGCAGCTCAAACTCAGTGGTCTTCCTATATTAGCCTCCCCAACACTGGGATTACAGGCATGTGCCTCCATTCCTGGTTCCAGTGGCCAGCATGGTCCTGGGTTCTGGGGTCGGCATGGCATGCAGTACTGGAGATTGCACCTGGGTCCTTGTGCTTGCCAGACAGGCATTTAGACCGCCAAGCTATCTCCCCATCCCTCAAGACACATTCTTACCTGTAAACATATGTAAAAGTAAAAATCATGTCATATAATCCCAGGGTATAATGGCAGAGTGTAAACATTTCTATTCCAAAAGGGAAGAATAGGAGGCTAGAGAAGACTTGGGCCAAAATAAAAGTGAAACCTAGCAGGAAAAATATTTCATCCTGCAGCTCTCTATCCAGTGTCTGGGATACGTGGTGAGATGTAAGCTGTCGAGGGCTCATCCAGCCCGGCCCCAGCCAGCCCAGCCCCGAGAACATTGCCAGTTGTAGGCCATAGGGTTTCTCTCTGGACTGGCCTCACTCTTGGGCTGCCACTTTCCTCGGCAAACTTTCCACATTCCTGGCATCTCCAATTTCCTGAGGTCTTCATTGTACCTTTGACATTCCATCAAAATAGCCACAGCTTTATAGAGAAGACTGAGTTATCCTTTGCCTTTTCTCGTCTTTTCCTCCCAATGCAGATGTCACCTGGGCTTTCACTCTCATTTATTCCTTCTCTGAATTCTTTATGCATCCCCATCTTGTTCTCTCTCTCTGAATTGTGACATCGGTGCAGATCAGGTATTTGAAAACCCCCATGGTGAACTGAAAAAGGCACAGAGCCCAGCATCAAGTAGACAGATCTGATACTCGAGTTTGATGCCCTACCTGCTGTGTGATGCAATGCAAGCTGCTTAACCTTTCTGA